GGCAAAGTTATTCACAAAGACAAAGTTAAAAGAGCTGCATGTAGCCTGGATCCACATATGCAGCGCCACAACACGACTGTAGAGGCAGTCACCTCTGTTTACAGTCGGGATTGGACCAGAAATAAAAACAGATAATCCCGTGGATTGAAGGAGGTGGAACAGATCCATAAAATGTTTCTTCGTGACTTCTGACTGCTGAAGTTTCATGTCGTTAATTCCCACATGCACGACTACCTTGGAAACGGTATGAGGCAGGGACTGAAGCAGAGGAGGGAGACGGATGAGCAGGTCTGGTACAGTAGCTCCGGGAATACAGCGAGTGACCGCGTTGAAGAAGCGGACGTGTCTCACGATGGAATCTCCAATAATCAGAGTGGTCGGGGCGAAGAGTGGCCTCGGAGAAGGAGCTCGGTGGACGGAACCAGCGGGTTCACCCGAAGCAGGACCGGAGCCTGAGCGCCGCTGAACACATGGAGAGGAGGAGCGGGGGTGCTGACTCTCAGCTACAGGCGACCCACGCTGTGTGCTCGGGGACGCTGGAGCGGTGAGAGGGGCTGGCTCTGGGCGCTGCTGCTGACCCAGTGGAGGTGAGCGGTGGTAATGATGGCTCGCTACCCCAGTCTGAGGCTGCTGCACTGGGGTCAAAGAAGGGGAACAGGCCAACATGGCTGGTGGACCGCTCTTTCGCCTGAGGACTGCTTCCTTTAGGAGCGTTTTCCTCGTAGTGGACTTGGATCCTCGAGCAGTAGAGTACGCTGCAGTGTCCAGGGATTCTGCTGAGGGGGCCGGGATGTCAGTGGAGAGGGCTGCATAGCGGTTTGCCAGACTCAGGACATGGGCCACGGCGCAAGATGGCTCCTCGGAATCCGCGGGCTCGTTATTCGGAACCGGGCGCTTAGGTGTAGAACAGGAGGGTCCGGAGCTGACGGATCTCTCCCACACGACAGTGTCACAATATGCAGCGCTCAGTGACATAAGCCGTGAATGCTGCCCGCCAGCGACTTCAAAAAGTTTGGATACTAGAGATTGTTTCTCATTCAACTCTGCGGTGAGACGAAGGACTTCTTTTCGTAGATCTGCAATGGTGGCACGGTCGCTCTCACGGAGCTCCAAGGTGAGGCGACTAATATTGTGCATGTTTGAGCCAATTTCATTGTCACTTTCCATGTCCTCGTTAGCTTGTGTTAGCCTCTGTGCTACTAGTGGGTTTCAGTCGGGACTAAGTGCTATTTGCTGAAACCACTGAATTAATAAGATAAAACACTCAGATATATTAAAAAACTGAACAATAAAAACGCGCTAAAAAGTTGTTAAAAGTTTACTAAAAAGGTGCACAGAGCAGCCCTGCAGTACTGCTTACTTTGACACACCTGCGTTCATTGCTTTTTGAAGATCTAGATCACTAGATCATTTTGTATATGATCTAGTGCCGTCCCAACCTCACCCGCCTCCTGATGCTAACACCCCCCGACACCATGAACCTGTGTCACATCACGCTAACATCTGCTGATGCTAACAACAAAACAAACCAGGCCGAGCCAACCCGACCTGAGAGGACTGTACATATGACCTGGTCTCTCTCTGGTCTCTCTCTGGTCTCTCCCCTCTCTCCTCCCTCTCCTCTCTCTCCCCTCTTCCCTCTCCTCGCTCTCCTCGCTCTCCTCTCTCCCCCCTCTCCCCCCTCTCCCCCCTCTCCTCCCTCTCCTCCCTCTCCTCCCTCTCCTCCCTCTCTCCTCCCTCCCTCCCTCTCTCCCTTTCCTCTCTCCCTTTCCTCTCTCTCTCTCCTCTCTCTCCTCTCTCTCCTCTCTCTCCTCTCTCTCCTCTCTCTCCTCTGCAGATGGGACAAAGTCACAGAATCGTTCCACATTTGGATCATATCAGAATGGATTCCATTGGATTTGCCCGAGAGGGAGACTACCAGCTGCATCCATATCAACACTCACCCAAACCCTCCCTCACCCCCTGCCCCCTCACCCCTCCCTCATCAGGCCGGTCCTGGAGCCTCGTCCCGCGCTCAAATGAAAGGCGAGGTCAGTCCTGGCCGAACTGAACGAGCTGCTACATGGAAAATTATAGATCATTGTTATGAGGAGAGAGACCAGAGGGAGACCAGAGGGAGACCAGAGAGAGACCAGAGAGAGACCAGAGAGCGACCAGAGAGAGACCAGAGAGAGACCAGAGGGAGACCAGAGAGAGACCAGAGAGAGACCAGAGGGAGACCAGAGGGAGACTAGAGAGAGACCAGAGGGAGACCAGAGGGAGACCAGAGAGAGACCAGAGAGAGACCAGAGGGAGACCAGAGGGAGACCAGAGGGAGACCAGAGGGAGACCAGAGGGAGACCAAAGGGAGACCAGAGGGAGACCAGAGAGAGACCAGAGAGAGACCAGAGGGAGACCAAAGGGAGACCCCAGAGGGGGACCAAGGAGAGACCAGAGATTTTCCAGCCGCAGGGTCTAGAGTCCAGTTTCACAGAGATGGACAGAGCTTACAGTGTGGACAGTGGTCGCTGCCAGAGCTGCTGGAAAAGCCCTGTGTCCTCCCCCCTCCTCACCCTCCTCCCCCCAGAGCAGCGGTGCATTTGGGGAAAGTGGGAATCTGCGGTTTTGGCACAGACCTAAACACACAGCTCCTATCAGTGAAAACAGACACACCACAGAGATACATACACTACACACTACAGCTTCAGTCCTGGATCTACAGCTTCAGTCCTGGATCTACAGCCTCAGTCCTGGATCTACAGCCTCAGTCCTGGATCTACAGCCTCAGCCTCAGTACTGGATCTACAGCCTCAGTCCTGGATCTACAGCCTCAGCCCGGGATCTACAGCCTCAGCCCGGGGTCTACAGCCTCAGTCCTGGATCTACAGCCTCAGTCCTGGATCTACAGCCTCAGTCCTGGATCTACAGCCTCAGCCCGGGATCTACAGCCTCAGCCCGGGGTCTACAGCCTCAGTCCTGGATCTACAGCCTCAGTCCTGGGTCTAAAGCCTGGTCCATGTACCAGGAGCAGAGCAGAGATTGGAGTAACAGGATTATCGCTTCACAGAGGATTATGAAATATTACAAACTGGGGCCGGGGAAGACCAGGCGAGAGGAGAAGACAAGAAGAAAGGGGAGGGGAGTGGTGTTTGATGGTCTGACCCTCATCCGGACCAGAGGAGCACATGGTCTCCTCACTTTCTGACCCTAAAGCTGAAGACCTCCATATGTCAGGGATTAGAAAGAGAGACGAGAGAGAGATAGACCAGAGATAGAACAGAGAGAACAAAGAGGGACCAGAGGGAGACCAAAGATAGACCTGAGAGAGACTCATAAACTCTCGTTCTCTCTGTAAACAGGTGCAGATGTAGCTGTCTCCTACACTTTTCTCTGGAGTCATGAAGAATTACCTGCTCCCCCCCCTCTCTCTCCTCTCTCTTTCTCTCCCTCCTTTCTCCAGATCCAAACACATCTGTTCTCAGCAGGTCACTAACGACGTCGTCATCGTCCTGGACCCTGAAGGATTGGAGACCGTTTAAAAACGTATTGGTCTCTCTCTGGTCTCTCTCTGGTCTCTCTCTGGTCTCTCTCTGGTCTCTCTCTGGTCTCTCTCTGGTCTCTCTCTGGTCTCTCTCTGGTCTCTCTCTGGTCTCTCTCTGGTCTCTCTCTGGTCTCTCTCTGGTCTCTCTCTGGTCTCTCTCTGGTCTCTCTCTGGTCTCCCTCTGGTCTCCCTCTGGTCTCCCTCTGGTCTCCCTCTGGTCTCCCTCTGGTCTCTCTCTGGTCTCTCTCTGGTCTCTCTCTGGTCTCCCTCTGGTCTCCCTCTGGTCTCTCTCTATTCTCTCTCTATTCTCTCTCTAGTCTCTCTCTGGTCTCCCTCTGGTCTCCCTCTGGTCTCTCTCTAGTCTCTCTCTAGTCTCTCTCTGGTCTCTCTCTGGTCTCCCTCTGGTCTCCCTCTGGTCTCCCTCTGGTCTCCCTCTGGTCTCTCTCTGGTCTCTCTCTGGTCTCTCTCTGGTCTCTCTCTGGTCTCTCTCTGGTCTCCCTCTGGTCTCCCTCTGGTCTCCCTCTGGTCTCTCTCTATTCTCTCTCTAGTCTCTCTCTGGTCTCCCTCTGGTCTCCCTCTGTGACCTTGGCTAAATAAATAAACATAACCTTATTTCTATGAACTACATTCTCTCTGGTTAACAGTTCTATTCACTAAACACATATAAACATAAACATATATCCATAATCTTGTGTATAACGTATAAAAGTCTGTGTCAGTATCGCTCACGTTAGTCCAAGTCCCGGTCCCGCTCCTCCTCAAACCCTGGTGTAATGTCTCCCTCTGGCGGCTTGAGTGAGTACTGCAGTGACTGGATAAAAACCTCCACATTGTTGGTCTCCAGAAGGTGGTGTTTTATTCATGCTGAGTCAAAGTTCATCATGAAAACAGCAGATTTAAACAAAGACAAAGTTAAAAAAGACACATTTCAATCAGAGCTTTTCAGTTTTTGCAGATTGTATCAAGAGGAAAATCCAAAGAAACGGCAAAGAATCAAAAACATTTGAAAGTTCGCAGTAAATTCAGTCTCACGACATTTATGAAATGTATGGAATTCAACTCACAAACTTCAGTTCTGATGCAAAACTGGGTAAATAAGTCCTCAGTCCTGGATCTACAGCCTCAGTCCTGGATCTACAGCCTCAGTCCTGGATCTACAGCCTCAGTCCTGGGTCTACAGCCTCAGTCCTGGGTCTACAGCCTCAGTCCTGGATCTACAGCCTCAGTCCTGGATCTACAGCCTCAGTCCTGGGTCTACAGCCTCAGTCCTGGATCTGATTCTCTGATCTGTTGTGATTTAGGGATTGAATAGAATATATGAATATATATATATAGTTTATTCTTAAGACTTCTATTGTTTCATCTCAAACATTCTTAATAAACTTTGGTCTGATTAAAAACTGACTTCAGTGAGCCACAGACACCAGCAGGTGGAGTCACTGACACCAGCAGGTGGAGTCACTGACACCAGCAGGTGGAGTCACTGACACCAGCAGATGGAGCCACAGACACCAGCAGATGGAGCCACAGACACCAGCAGATGGAGCCACTGACACCAGCAGGTGGAGTCACTGACACCAGCAGATGGAGCCACAGACACCAGCAGATGGAGCCACTGACACCAGCAGGTGGAGTCACTGACACCAGCAGGTGGAGTCACTGACACCAGCAGATGGAGCCACAGACACCAGCAGATGGAGCCACTGACACCAGCAGATGGAGCCACTGACACCAGCAGGTGGAGTCACTGACACCAGCAGATGGAGCCACTGACACCAGCAGGTGGAGTCACTGACACCAGCAGGTGGAGCCACTGACACCAGCAGGTGGAGTCACTGACACCAGCAGGTGGAGCCACTGACACCAGCAGGTGGAGTCACTGACACCAGCAGGTGGAGTCACTGACACCAGCAGGTGGAGCCACAGACACCAGCAGGTGGAGCCACTGACACCAGCAGGTGGAGTCACTGACACCAGCAGGTGGAGCCACTGACACCAGCAGGTGGAGTCACTGACACCAGCAGGTGGAGCCACTGACACCAGCAGGTGGAGTCACTGACACCAGCAGGTGGAGCCACAGACACCAGCAGGTGGAGCCACTGACACCAGCAGGTGGAGCCACTGACACCAGCAGGTGGAGTCACTGACACCAGCAGGTGGAGCCACTGACACCAGCAGGTGGAGCCACTGACACCAGCAGGTGGAGCCACAGACACCAGCAGGTGGAGCCACAGACACCAGCAGGTGGAGCCACAGACACCAGCAGGTGGAGTCACTGACACCAGCAGGTGGAGTCACTGACACCAGCAGGTGGAGCCACTGACACCAGCAGAAACATACAGATCCTGTTTCAGGAACAGGACGCTGCAGAAGTGAAACTATGGATCCACAAGTTTATAAATATTATTGTTTTTAGTCTCTGTTGTTTTTGTCCCCATTCTGAGACCTGGACCTGCAGACTAGTCCCAGTCTGAGCCCTGGACATGCAGACCAGTCCCAGTCTAAGACTTGGACCTGAGGACTAGTCCCAGTCTAAGACCTGGACCTGAGGACTAGTCTCAGTCTGAGACTGGGTCAGTCCTGGGTCGGTCCTGGGTCCAGACCCTTGGATTCTACAACCCAAAGTTGGAATTCGAGTCGACCCGGACTCAGGCGGAAGTTGTTGGTTCTGGAGTCGCTGCTTCTGCGATAAACAAATAACATTGATCCAAAGTCTCAGCGTAAAGTGTATAAAAATATCTGCAGCGACTCGAATTTCAACTTCGGGTCTTGGGTCTTGACCCAGGGCCGACCCAGGACCCACGAGTTTTAGTTAAGGCCAGTTTTGTGCATAGTCCTCTCTGTACTGTCAGTAGTAAAACGAACACACTTCAGTATTAGTCGCACAAGTACCATCTCATAAGTCTCGTTAAAGTCATAATAAATATTTGAACAGTTTGTAAAAGCTGCGGTGTTAGAGACGAAAACGTCTTTGTCCGTTTGTGCTAAAATATTAACGAAGAAACGTGAAAAATAAACAAAATCATGTCCAAAAAATGAACAATTTTTTTTTCCACAAACGAGTCGTCTGCAGGAAATACCAGAAAACTGTTTTCTATAGTACCAGTCTACAGCCCTGTTTCCACCAGATCTAGCATAGCCTAGCCTAGCCTAGCCTAGCTTAGCCTAACCTCGCTTAGCCTAGCCTAGTCAAGCCTAGCCATATCCCACTCTTCCCTAGTGATTGGTCTGAGTGCTGCTGGAAGCCATGGTCACCAAGGAATTTCATTGGGACCAGATGCTTAAGCAAAATGGAAACGCAACCAGGTGGAGAAGAGAATAGACTGGGCCAAGTGAAACTGAGCGTGGTAGACTAAACCTAGAGCAGACTAACCCAGATCAGACTAGATCAGACTAGATCAGCCTAGATCAGCCTAGCTCAGCCCAGAGCGTCCCTGGTGGAAACGGGCCTCTCTCAGTAGAACTTGTCGTCGATCCTGAAGTGAGGTCGTGTGACATCATCCGGGTTCAGAAACACAGAGATGGACTTCCCGGGGTTCTCTGTGACGAGCTGCTGCAGTCTCTGAGCCAGTCTGTCCTCGTGCCCCCCCCCCAGGTGTCCCCCCCCCTGGTGCCCCGGCGACCCCCCCCCGTTCTGCAGCTCCTTCTTCAGCTGCCCCGCCTGCCGCGCTGCCCGCAGCTGCTCCAGCGGGTCGGAGCGCACGCATGCTAGCTTACGCGCTAGGAAGAGCGCCTGGGCGTCCTCCAGGTGCTCCAGCATGTTGCACTGGGGCAGGAAGTAGTTGGGGCAGGTCTTGCTGAGGATGCAGTGGGCCAGGTCGTCCAGCAGCCCCAGCAGGAGGCGGGCGGGCGTGTCGGGCGAGTCACAGGACAGAAAGGAGCCGGGGAGACGGTCACACGCCCAGAACAGCAGCGTGCGCAGGTGGTACAGGCTGAGGCCGGAGCGCGGGCGAGCTAGCACCGGAGCCAGGATGGATTTGGCCGCTTGGAAGGCCTGGGCCATGGGGAAGGGGATGCATTTCTTCAGCTGGACCTGGAGGGAGAGAGCGGAAGACGGAGGTTAGAGAGAGAGAGAGACACAGTTCAATTCAATGTATTTGTATTTGTAGACCCAGGACTGAGGCTGTAGACCCAGGACTGAGGCTGTAGACCCAGGACTGAAGCTGTAGACCCAGGACTGAGGCCGTAGACCCAGGACTGAGGCTGTAGACCCAGGACTGAGGCTGTAGACCCAGGACTGAGGCTGTAGACCCAGGACTGAGGCCGTAGACCCAGGACTGAGGCTGTAGACCCAGGACTGAGGCTGTAGACCCAGGACTGAGGCCGTAGACCCAGGACTGAGGCTGTAGACCCAGGACTGAGGCTGTAGACCCAGGACTGAGGCTGTAGACCCAGGACTGAGGCTGTAGACCCAGGACTGAGGCTGTAGACCCAGGACTGAGGCCATAAACAATATCATTGTCAAGCTAAAATAAAACTTTTTATTTTCAATCCTGTTTCATTTTCGTGTATTTTCTGGAGCCTCAGGCAGAGAGTGGAGACGAGGAAAGGGTAAAAAATGTAATGAAACAAAAACAAGAATCCCCACCACTGTGGGGAAAAGTTATAGACTGTATCTAATACCTTTTCTAAAGTAAAGTGACATTCTGAAGTTACAGTATTTCCTTATTTACACAGTCATGGTCCAGATGTGAGTTTGTCCAGGACCCTCCTCTCCCCCACCTGCTGCACTGTGTCCAGGGAAAAGGACAGAGCTGGTCTTCCTAATGTTCCAGCTTCTTCCCTCTCTGTGATGCTGCAGCAGACCACACAGAGTCTCACACATTCAGACTGAGTTCAAACTAGATTCTCCAACGGGACAAAACCATTTAGTCTTATTTCCAGAACTGTTTTTAGTCTCTCACTTCAAGAATGAGAGACTGGAAAGACTCATGGAGAGACGCTGTGAGGCTAATTTGAAATGCTCGCCGTATTAACAGCATGGAACGTACACATCGCAGGATGAATGGGAGCAGTCAAAACGACGGCTGTGTGAGTGAGACTGACCTCACTGCGGGAGAAGGCCAGCCTCCACTCGCGGTCCGCTCTGCCCCCTGCTGGAGCGGGGCAGGGCAGCAGGTAGAACCCAGAGATGGCCTCCTCCTCCGTGATCTTTCCGTCCCAGAAGTGATTCGCCGTGAGCCAGCCCTGAGCCACCGCCGGCCAGCCCCGAAAGGAGACCACAGGGAGCAGGTCGTACAGCACCCGACTGGAGCCCGCCTGTGGGAGAGAACCATCAGAGAGAGAGACCAGGGAGAGAGAGACCAGACAGAGAGAGAAACACCAGGGAGAGACCAGAAAGAGACCAGGGAGAGAGAGAGAGAGACCAGAGAGAGAGAGAGAGAGGGAGAGAGAGAGACCACAGGGAGCAGGTCATACAGCACCTGACTGGAGCCCGCTTGAGGGAGAGAACCATCAGAGAGAGAGACCAGACAGAGAGAGAGACCAGAGAGAGAGAGAGACCAGAGAGAGAGAGAAAGACCAGGGAGAGACCAGAAAGAGACCAGAGAGAGAGAGAAAGAGCCTGCAGGGTGATGTCACAGACCTGCAGGATGATGGTGGTCAGGGGCCCGTTGCGCTCCAGTCTCTCTGGGGTTGGGATCCCTCTCTGGGGGCTCCTCCTCAGCTCCTCCACAGCCTCTTGGACCACGCCCCAAAACCAGTCCGAGACCAGAGACGGAGAGAAGTAACATCCATCCAGGGCCTGAGGAGAGCCCAGCGAGGGGGAGGCGCCCCGGGCTGGGACCAGGAGGCACACAACATTACACACAGTTACACACTAATACACATCACTACACAACTTTAAATTTCCTGTTGTCTCTGATATTTGTGTTGAGTTGTGCTTTTTTATAGTGAGTTTCTCCTTTTCTGTGTCTTTACTGCAACATCGTCTCTCTGGTCTCTCCCTCTCTCTGGTCTCTCCCCCTCTCTGGTCTCTCCCCCTCTCTGGTCTCTCCCCCTCTCTGGTCTCTCCCCCTCTCTGGTCTCTCCCTCTCTCTGGTCTCTCCCCCTCTCTGGTCTCTCCCCCTCTCTGGTCTCTCCCCCTCTCTGGTCTCTCCCCCTCTCTGGTCTCTCCCCCCTCTCTGGTCTCTCCCCCTCCCTCTCTGGTCTCTCCCCCTCTCTGGTCTCTCCCCCTCTCTGGTCTCTCCCTCTCTGGTCTCTCCCTCTCTGGTCTCTCCCTCTCTGGTCTCTCCCTCTCTGGTCTCTCCCTCTCTGGTCTCTCCCTCTCTGGTCTCTCCCTCTCTGGTCTCTCCCTCTCTGGTCTCTCCCTCTCTGGTCTCTCCCTCTCTGGTCTCTCCCCCTCTCTGGTCTCTCCCTCTCTGGTCTCTCCCCGTGAGCAGACGTATTGATCCTAAATCTTGGATGTGTTTTGTCTTTAAATCCTTTTCTTTCCTGAAGCGTTCGTTTACCACAGAAACAAACCGATGTGAGTTTGGTCTGAGGCAAAAACATGTTTTATTCACAACATTCACAGTCCAAGGTTTATGTTTCAGGCCCAACCGCTGACGTCCATGTCTGAAACAATGGACAAGAAACACTACAGCTGTGTACTCACAAAACCAAACCATACTTTTAGAAATGACACCATGTGGGCCAGAAAGATCTTTGTGAAGCCAGGTCTATGGTTCACATCAACTTGACCTCCCATGAGCCTTTGCACTTGCTGCGTCAAGTTACGAGACCAGAGAGAGACCAGAGAGAGACCAGAGAGAGACCAGAGAGAGACTAGAGAGACTAGAGAGACTAGAGAGAGACCAGAGAGAGACCAGAGAGAGACCAGAGAGAGACCAGAGAGAGACCAGAGAGAGACTAGAGAGAGACCAGAGACAAGAGACCAGAGAGACAGACCAGAGTATCTGCCTCACTCACCTCCTCCTCCTCACCCTCTGCTCCTCCTCCTCCCTCCTCCTCCCTCCTCCTCCTCCTCCTCGCAGCAGACTCACCTCTCTCCTTCCTCCTCCTCCTCCTCCCTCCTCCCTCCTCCTCCACCTCCCTCCTCCTCCCTCCTCCTCCTCCTCGCAGCAGACTCACCTCTCTCCTCCTCCTCCTCCTCTGCTCCTCCCTCCTCCTCGCAGCAGACCCCCCACCTCTGCAGGACGGCGCCCTCACAAAGCCTCAGACTGAGCCAGGAGTGGCAGGGGGAGGAGTGCCTCATGTCCAGGGTGACGGGCTGGTTCCGGTCGTGCAGCTTGAGGGCCGGGACCAGGAGAGTGAAGTCCAGGTCGAAGTCTGTGCCTTTAGCGTAGCTCCCCACGTCTGCCGGGTTCAAGTCCAGCACGCCGTCACGGGCGCCGCCGGAGAGCAGCAGGTACTCGTTGGCCACAGGGAGGCGCTGGTCGATCTTCTGCACCAGACCTAGACACACCACAGAACACACACTTAATGATGGATTTATACTCCCTCCTGATGGATTTATACTCCCTCCTCCTCCCTCCTCCTCCCTCCTCCTCCCTCCTCCTCCCTCCCTAGTCTGTCTGTCTGTCTAAAGCCTGGGACCAGAGCAAGAGAGAGACCAGAGCGAGAGAGAGACCAGAGCGAGAGAGACCAGAGCGAGAGAGACCAGAACGAGACCAGAGCTAGAGATACCAGAGAAAGAGAGAGACCAGAGCGAGAGAGACCAGAGCAAGAGAGACCAGAGCTAGAGAGACCAGAGCAAGAGAGAGACCAGAGCGAGAGAGAGATTAGAGAGAGAGAGACCAGAGCAAGAGAGACCAGAGCAAGAGAGACCAGAGCGAGAGAGACCAGAGCAAGAAAGAGACCAGAGCAAGACCGGAGCGAGAGAGAGACCAGAGCAAGAGAGAGAGACCAGAGAAAGACCAGAGAGACCAGAGACAGACCAGAGAGAGACCAGAGAAAGACCAGAGAGAGACCAGAGAGAGACACCAGAGAGAGACCAGAGAGAGACCAGAGAGAGAGACCAGAGAGAGACCAGAGAGAGACACCAGAGAGAGACCAGAGAGAGACCAGAGAGAGAGACCAGAGAGAGACCAGAGAGAGACACCAGAGAGAGACCAGAGAGAGACCAGAGAGAGACTGCATTTGGATGATCTTTGTTGTTGAATCAGATGTATTTCAGTTTGAGCTGCAGACACTGAAGTGAATGTCTCTGATTTGCCTGTAAGGGGAGAGGGAGGGAGAAGGAGAGGGAGAGGGAGAGAGAGAGAGAATTTGTATAGAACTGTACTCTCTCTCTTTCTCGCGCTCTCCTTCTGCTGCAAATCGACTCCCCACCTCCTCCTTCCTGTACTTTACCCTGAGCCAATCTCCTCCGACTGCTGCGCTCTTCATTTCACACCATTTCTATCAATATTCCAGCATCTGCTCTCATAAATAAATGCAAATCCAACATGACGGGGTCTGACGTGCTGCTGACCCCAGAGAGGCCGCTTCCGTTCTCTCGCTCTCTCGTCCTCTCGCTCTCTCGTCCTCTCGTCCATGGATCCACTTTTTATTTATTTATGAATTGCTTTTGAATGCGTGTGTGTTTTTCAAAGTGGCTTTTTATTAACAGAAGCTACAGATACAGAGAAGGAGAAATATAGGACTGGTCTGTGGTCTCGCTCTGGTGTCTCCCTCTCTCTGGTGTCTCCCTCTCTCTGGTCTCTTCCTCTCTCTGGTCTCTCCCTCTCTCTGGTCTCTCCCTCTCTCTCTGGTCTCTCCCTCTCTCTCTGGTCTCTCCCTCTCTCTCTGGTCTCTCCCTCTCTCTGGTCTCTCCCTCTCTCTCTGGTCTCTCCCTCTCTCTCTGGTCTCTCCCTCTCTCTCTGGTCTCTCCCTCTCTCTCTGGTCTCTCCCTCTCTCTCTGGTCTCTCCCTCTCTCTCTGATCTCTCCCTCTCTCTCTGGTCTCTCCCTCTCTCTCTGGTCTCTCCCTCTCTCTCTGATCTCTCCCTCTCTCTCTGATCTCTCCCTCTCTCTCTGGTCTCTCCCTCTCTCTCTGGTCTCTCCCTCTCTCTCTGGTCTCTCCCTCTCTCTGGTCTCTCCCTCTCTCTCTGGTCTCTCCCTCTCTCTCTGGTCTCTCCCTCTCTCTCTGGTCTCTCCCTCTCTCTCTGGTCTCTCCCTCTCTCTCTGGTCTCTCCCTCTCTCTGGTCTCTCCCTCTCTCTGGTCTCTCCCTCTCTCTGGTGTCTCTCTCTCCATCTGGTCTATGCTTCTCTCTGGAGTGAAACGAGGAGAAAACTCTGTTCTGCTGAAAACAATTTAAATGATTTGTATATTTGGCTCGTTCCCCTTTTGCCCTGACTCTATCTCTTTGAGGAGACCAGAGAGAGACCAGAGAGAGGCCAGAGAGAGGCTAGAGAGAGACCAGAGAGAGACCAGAGAGAGACCAGAGAGAGACCAGAGAGAGACCAGAGAGAGGCTAGAGAGAGACCAGAGAGAGACCAGAGAGAGGCCAGAGAGAGACCAGAGAGAGGCCAGAGAGAGACCAGAGAGAGACCAGAGAGAGGCTAGAGAGAGACCAGAGAGAGACCAGAGAGAGACCAGAGAGAGGCCAGAGAGAGACCAGAGAGAGACCAGAGAGAGACTAGAGAGAGACCAGAGAGAGACCAGAGAGAGACCAGAGAGAGGCCAGAGAGAGGCTAGAGAGAGACCAGAGAGAGACCAGAGAGAGACCAGAGAGAGGCTAGAGAGAGACCAGAGAGAGGCCAGAGAGAGGCTAGAGAGAGACCAGAGAGAGACCAGAGAGAGACCAGAGAGAGGCCAGAGAGAGACCAGAGAGAGACCAGAGAGAGGCTAGAGAGAGACCAGAGAGAGACCAGAGAGAGACCAGAGAGAGACCAGAGAGAGGCTAGAGAGAGACCAGAGAGAGACCAGAGAGAGACCACAGAGAGACCACAGAGAGACCACAGAGAGACCACAGAGAGACCACAGAGAGACCACAGAGAGACCACAGAGAGACCACAGAGAGACCACAGAGAGACCAGAGAGAGACCAGAGAGAGACATCCATGAGTTAAACCAGTGACAGCCACGTTCAGAGGAAAGCGAGCAGACTCTATACAACACCTATAACTCAGACGGTAAAGTGCTTCTATTCAGAGCCGAAAAAGAGTCTGAGCCAGAGCAGGGCTTAAACAACATTTCAGCACCTGAAGAAGACGAGAGAAACCTGGGTCCTCGAGTGACACCAGGACAAGGCACCAGCTGCACTCACATCCTCATTAACCAGAGAATTAGCATCTGTAAAGACAGCTGCTGTAAAGACAGAGAGGAGAGAGAGAGTGAGAGAGAGAAAGAGAGCAGAGCTGAGAGAAGAGAGAGAGAGAGAGAGAGAGAGACCAGAGAGCGAGAGAGAGAGCAGAGAGAGAGAGTGATGGAGAGCAGACAGAGAGAGCTGAGGAGAGAGAGAGAGAGAGACCAGAGAGCAAGAGACCAGAGAGAGAAGAGAGAGACCAGAGAGAGAGAGAGAGAGAGAGAGAGAGAGAGCAGAGAGAGAGCAGATAAAAAGACCAGAGTAGAAAAAGAGAGCGCAGAGGGAGACCAGAAGTGTAATAAAGTGGATTAAATGTGGTGTAAAAGCTACACCACATTTAATCCACTTTATTATTGAATTCTCTGTGTGAGGTTAGCCTTAGCATAAGGTGAGCATTAAAGTGGTTCTCACCCCCGCTCCTCGGAGCTTACGTCACTCACATTTCCTGTTCAAATCTTCCTCTAAATGGGCGTAGCCTGGAGGACTAAAGGGGGCGTGAACGAGACTGGGCCGTTTACATTGCTCTGGGCGGGGGGCTGCTGACGTCAGGTCTTGCTTCAGACGTCAGGTCTTGCTTCAGACGTCAGGTCTTGCTGCCGTGCCAGTGTTGGCGCCAGATTCAAAATTCAAATGTAGTAATACAGGTCGCCAGCAGATGGCGCCTCACAGACGGTTTTAGGCAGAAAGTTTAACTTTCAACTAATTTGCACCAAAGTGACAAGATTATGACCAGGATATGTAGACAACACTATTGGACACTCATTTATACCGTTTATCAGCAAAAAAAAGTGGATTTGAGGGTGAGTTGTCCTTTAACACGCAGTTAGCATTAGCACGAGATTACCATTAGCATGTATAAAGGCAGGGGCTGTAACCTCTGCATCACGCTCTGCTGTTTCTGAGACATGTGTGGAATGTAGAGGTCGATTACACCGTTTTCTTCCGACTGATCCACAGACTTTAAGACTTTGTTTTGTTCACACAGTTTGGAGTTTATGAAATGGTTTAAAAAGAATAATATTCTACAATAATTTTTGTATGTTTGTTTGAGGGAACAAGCTACAATTTAAATTAGTATGAAAATATAAGGCAGTTGTATGCAAGGACTGGAGAGAGAACAGAAAGAGAGAGATTAGAAAGAGAGAGAGACCAGAGAGAGACCAAAGAGAGAGACCAAAGAGAGAGACCAGAGAGAGAGACTAGAGAGAGAGACCAGAGAGAGAAACTAGAGAGCGACCAAAGAGAGAAACTAGAGAGGGAGACCAGAGAGAGAAAGACCAGAAAGAGAAAGACCAGAGAGAGACCAGGCAGATTAGAGCAGAGTTGGAGGAAACAGGGCTAAGTTATGCTGACACAAGAGCTTATCAGTCTCTCTCTGGAAACTTTGAGGATTAGTTTCAGCACAAGGTCAAACAAACAATTACCTCTGAACCAGAGCGAGAGAGACACCAGGGGAGATATGACATGACTCAGTGAGAGAGAGACAGTGATGGGAATAACGGCGTTACTAGTAACGGCGTTACTAACGCCGTTACTTTTTTCAGTAACGAGTAATCTAACTAATTACTTTGACAGTAACTATAACGCCGTTATCATTTCCGACATCCCGTTACTGCGCGTTACTCAAGACGCACAATGAACGTGTTGTCATGAGAGAAGGGAGGATGATAAAACCTCTCAGCAGTTATTGGCTGATGTAAATCATATTTCTTTACAATCTACATGTCTACAGTTGAGAGGATGGCTCATAAATTGTGTTTTTGAAACAAATATGGGTCTTAATCGCGCTCAACCACGGCTTGTATCACCGTGAGGTCAGCCACAGAGGCGCGTATGTCAGCGCAGAAGTCGGCTGCATACAATTCCATCGATAAGCTCCTTGCTCTTCCTGGTTTATCTGCTAAGGACAGCAACAGGTTTGGCTAACATACATATAACACATTTTTACATAATCTAAAATGCACATAGGGTAATTGTTCAATTACTATAGGAATGATAAGAAAGAGGTGAAGTGTAAGACGGTTGATTTTAGAAATTGGATGCACCCGGCTGCAGCAAAACACAGGAGTTTATGGAGGACACACGCGTTTTGTTTTACTTTTTAAAACTCATTGGACTCATTTCCAAATGGAGGATTACATATCTACGCTCAAACCATTCACTGGATTTAAACAAGGAACTGGTCTGAACCGAAGTGGACTGTGCAGGTCATTTATAAGGTATAGCTATAAGGTAAGACCCATAACTCATAGTTTTGCGTTTTGTATGAACAAACAATGCGGGCATGAAACATATTTTGCTGTAGCCAAACAAATTGTCCACTTGATTTATATGATATATATGTTCATCTGATTGGACTGAAGTCAGTGCTTCACCGGTGTTTCCACATTCACAGTGGCGGGTGTTGGTGTTTAGTGCTTACAGCACAGAGAGAGATGAAGAGTGAACAGGACTTCAGCAGCAAAACAGCCTTTTCTAGATGGAAATATTGGCACTGTTAAAGGTAAAAATGCGCACGTCGGGTGCACATTATGTTCCAGAACAAAACGAAAAAGTAACGCAATAGTTACTTTTACTGGTAACTAGTTACTTTTATAGTGGAGTAACTCCGTTAGTAACTCAGTTACTTTTTGGGAGAAGTAACTAGTAACTATAACTAATTACTTTTTCTAAGTAACGTGCCCAACACTGGAGAGAGAGAAAGATAATGGAGAGAGGAGAGAGAGAGAGAAAGGACAGAGGAGAGAGAGGCGAGAAAGAGAGAGAGTGAGAGGAGAGAGTGAGAGGAGAGAGAGAGAGGAGAGAGAGAGGGAGAAGAGAGAAAGGAGAGGAGAGAGAGAGAGGGAGAAGAGAGAAAGGAGAGGAGAGAGAGAGGAGAGAGAACATCCAAGCTGGAGCAGGACTGGGGCCCCCTGCAAGACACTCTATGCTCTCTCTCTCTGGTCTCTCTCTCTAGTTTCTTCCCCTGGTTTCTCTCTCTGGTCCCATCTGTATACAGTCTGTGTTAGCGTTAGCATCTGTATACAGTCTGTGTTAGCGTTAGCATCTGTATACAGTCTGTGTTAGCGTTAGCATCTGTATACAGTCTGTGTTAGCGTTAGCATCTGTATACAGTCTGTGTTAGCGTTAGCATCTGTATACAGTCTGTGTTAGCGTTAGCATCTGTATACAGTCTGTGTTAGCGTTAGCATCTGTATACAGTCTGTGTTAGCGTTAGCATCTGTATACAGTCTGTGTTAGCGTTAGCATCTGTATACAGTCTGTGTTACCCATTCTTGATTACACACGCCCCTGTAATCATGTCAGAGATGGTTTAGAACTGTTTGTGAAAACCTTGGATTGTGTTCCTCTTTATAGG